AACTAAATAAGTGTAAAACATTTAAGGAGGTGATTCCTCATCGAAAAAAAGATAGGATCTTTCATATAAAGAAATTTCATTAGAGCATCCCTTGTTAAGATACAGCTCCTTAAAGGGGGTACACCAAATTTGTATAACAATTTTTTCACAAGCACTGAAAAAGTTACAATATTGGAATTAACCTGACGTTTTATACTACCAAAAAGACACTTGGCCAGAAATTTATTTGGTTTACCTTATGGTTGTAAGGGGTGATCCAATTTAACTTTTTGTCTTATTATTTGTTTACCATTTAGCCGATAGCCTGTTTCATTCTAAACAAAAAATGTCTCCTGGGTTTTTTGCCCAAAATAAACCAGTTCGCAGCAAAAAATTATTTTAGGAACAACTACAGAGACATCGTCATAAATGCGAAAATACGAAAGTAATATATCTAGTAGGTCGCTATTAGCGATAGTGACAATTAAATTGGTATAACGCTGCCAGTTTGTGAATTTTCGAAATTGAATTAATACTAATTGTGTGTTGTTCTGTTCTTAATTTGTTACTTTAATAATTCACTTGTTATTAAAATGGCTTACACAAATGAGGAAATGGCTAAAATGCATTATGTTTACGGTCTGTCTGTCTGGGAATGGGTTAGAAGCTTCTAGAAGATATGCTAAAATCCTCAACGGCAGCATCCTTCACATATCCTAACGTTGGGTCATCGGTGAACCATCAGGATGAATATACCTCTGAAGAAGCCAGCAACTCGTGCTGACGAAACTTTAAGATACAGTTCCAAACCACGACGGCCTTCAAAAACGAATGAAGATCGTAACTACGAGAGTAATGTCCACTGAGAACAATTTGCTGACCTGCAAAATAGAAAGGAATGAGTGATCATCTAGCAGAATACAAAAATCACTCAAGTACTCTCAATAGGTGATGGAGAGTAAGAAATATCTGTTTTTAATGAGACAGGCTAGCTATACATATATTCTACCATTTTTTTAAAAAAGACGCACTGTCACATTCTTTTCTTTCAATAACCCCTTGCAGGGCTATTCTGCTAATTAGGTTTGGTTGAGTATAGTAAATCCAATAATGATTGAGAGTAAAGCGCGTTGTCATATCTAAATTTTACGTTACCAGTTTATAGCAGAATCAAAATATAGTAAACAGTAGAGTTATAGGTTGTGGCAAATTATAGATAATACACAATACTAGTACGATTAAAAGGTATTATTTATGACAAAAATCAGTAATGAGCTTGTAATGAGTAATACTTATACATTTCCTGATTACTGATCAGTTAAAATTCATTATTTTCTGTATAGTGTTAGATATTTATTACNAAATATTCTAAAAGAAACATAACAATATTGTTTTATGTACTTTCACTTTTCACGTATAGTATAACTACTCTTTAAGATTAAGTACTGTGTATCTCAAAAACCAGAGCTAATAAAAATTTTTCATTGTTATTTTCGTTTTTATCACCCCAAAATTAGTAGAAATTGACTAATTTAGTGTAGGAAACATTCAAAAAATATTTTTTTGTTGTGTTGGGTAATTTGCATTCATCTGTCACGGAACAGATTAAAAAAATCAAATCTAGGGTCTACAAGCTCAAGTGCGATGACTGCAATGCCTCATATATATAGGCCAGACTGGCCGCAGTTTCAATCAGGGATTCGAGGAACACTTGAGAAGTTACACATTGAATTACCAAGATGCCTACTACGCCAAAATTAGGAAATTCTACACATTCAACTGAAAAGTCTGAAATGAAATATATAGAATTTATAGAAATCCAAAATTATCTTGCTAATGAACACAACATTGTTCTGAATGATCAGATAGTTCTCCAGTCATCAATAACGTTATTACTGACTTCCCAAATGCTCGTTGATAGGTACCTCTTTCTGCCTACTACACTGATTTTTCTAAAGCGTTCGACAGACTTGACCATAGTATCCTGCTCAACAAGCTTTTTCGACGTCTGGGTTATCCAATGAATTAATTACCCTCTTCAAATCGTATTTTTACAACCGTAAGCAGTATGTCCAACTCAATGGCATGAAGTCTATCGAATATATAGCCACATCTGGTGTACCACAAGGATCTTTTGTACGCAAATGACTTGAAACTCTATCATAATATAACATGTTCTAATGATTGCGAACGTCTCGCCCTGAATTTAAATCCCGTTGCTACATGGTGTCGAAAGAATAATCTATCTCTCAACATATCCAAATCTAATGTAATGTCTTACTCACTTAAAACCAACCTAATTTACACAACTACGTCATAAACAGTCAAGTTCTGGAACGTCCTGACACACTCACTGATCTAGGTGTTACTTTTGATTCATCCCTCTCTTTCAATAAACATATTGACCCTACTCTAACAGCAGCTTATTGCATGTATGGATTCTATTTAGAAACACAAAAGACTTCGAAAAAGCTTCAAACATTGAAATTACTTTATTTCACTTTTGTTCGATCTAGGCTGGAATATGCATCTATCGTGTAGAGTCCCTACTATCAGGTTCATATAAATCAACTAGAAGCCCTACAGAGGCGCTTCCTAAAATGTATGTCTTTTAAACTTGAAGGCACGTATCCTACTGTAGGAATACCCTATTATGAATTGCTTGTAACTCACAATTTTTGTAGTCTCGAGGTAAGGCGTAAATAATATTCATTTCTGTTTTTATTCAAGGTCATAAACAATATCATCACCTGCTCTCAATGGTTACATATGTTAAATTTTTAGGTTCCTAGGCGGTCATCTAGGAATAGTGTCACATTTTATCTCAACACTCCGCGTACAAATATAATGGAAAAATCTCCAATTTATACAAATGTGCGATACCTTTAATTCTGTTAGTCATGTCCTAGATATATTCAACTAACAGATTATACAAATTAAAAGACATTTCTTAGCTAACTGACAGTTCTGTTTTTATTTTATTTTTTTATAGATTCACAAATTATATTATGTTACTCCCTATTCTGTAATTGGGTTCATCCTGTAGAATAGTGTATGAAATAAATAAATAAATAATATTTTGGTATCACTTCGAGTGAGACAATGTCACAGGAAGATGATGTCCGGCAAATTGCTCGAGATCGCAGAATCATAATTCATTGTATACTAACAAAAATATATTGTGAATTATGCATTTGTAAATTACTCTCCCTCTCTAGTTTCTATGGTCGTTGTTTTTCATTTGAGCGCATTTGGCCAGGCTCCTCCTGTTCATAGCGAACAGAAGCTTCGTCTGGGGGCGTAGCTATCTTGCTCAATGCAATGCTGCCACCATTCACTCCTTTTAACAAAAACACTTACTTTTTTACTGGTCGCCTCCTTCTCGGAAGGCCTTGGGATAAAAATGACACAAATACACATGTTCATATATTTTATAGAGCTGAAGACTTCGTCGACATCCAGCTTGGTTACTGGCGAAGGGGGGGGGGGCAGTCCTCTACTATTTCATTTCAATATTTATTTAAACAACTCCTCTGTCGCGATCGGAGAGGAAGTCAATTTGTAAATTAGTTATAGAACAATGGTCATATTCAAATCAGCATGAAGCCACTAAATATCGTCTCAGATATTATCTAGTTTATTCGAATAATATGTATGGAAAAATATCAGTGTCGTAAATAAAATATTTTCATTTATAAACAAATATATAACCTGTCTTTTTGTTTTCCTTTACTTTAGTGTTGACGCTAGTTTCACAATTTAACCATTGTTGCCTAAATAGTATACCATGGCCATATTCAATAATTGAAATATTAGAGGAAAACGATTGTTTTTGAACGTTAGTGTTGTGGTCATTGAAGAATGTAGATCTAAGTCGAATTAAAAAAAAATCACTTCATCCANTTATATGCGTTTATGAGTTCTGTGGTCCATCTGTCAGTAGAATCGTTAATATGGTTTTCTCCTACCAGTTTTTGTTCTACCGAAATCACTGTCTGTTAAAACATTTCAGTATCTTCTCAACAGTGGACGAGATATCGAAGTATATAATTTAATAAAAATTCATACTTCATAATTCTTATCACTCAAATTCAAAGTTCCCGCCACTTTGACTTCGTTTCCTGCGGTCGGTACGTACGCTTGATACCGGAAATACCTCGGTATTTCAGAACGTCCTTGAATGGCGCTGAATTCTGTGCGGATCAAATAGAAATTAACCGAACCAACACCAACTCCACTTGCCAATTTTGTGAAGTTTACACCCCGTGCTCTTCGCATTTCGCCGTAGTCTGAAAAGTTGCAATTTTCAATAAGATTCTACGCAATTCAATTTCTTACACACAAATATAATACCAGATCAGTTTCCAAATTCGGTAGTGGGCTGTCAAGGTAAGTAAATGGAGTTTCCAATAACGCCTGGCGATTAATCCACGCCGGTTCATATTTCGACATGGACAGAGACGTCCAATCGTGGCTCAAAAATGTTACAAATGGATCTACTGGATTTTTATCGATTCGCGGCTCACGTTTATTGCATGTTGTCGAAGTTTGAACAGTTTTAGGGGGTTTTCTTGTGCCAGTTTTGATTCTATCGTTTTTACCTGGAGTTATATTGCTGTGTAAACTTCATGTGGTCATTTCAATGGAATCTCTTTGTTTGCATCCCGAAGTTGCAACCTTGCTTCTCTATACAAGTACACTAGTTCGCGAAATATTAGTTCATTAGTTGTTTCTTCACTTCTACACGTGGTGGAATTATAATTGAGGATTTTCTGAATTCTGCGATGTTTATTGCGTTATTGTTGATATTTGTACTGAGGTATTTGTAATTTTATTTTTGCAGGTTATTGTTTTGCCAGCATAATTTCATTAAGTAATCATCAGGAATGGTAATGGAGGCTCCCCCTTCACCCCAAAGTGTTGGACGAGAGTTTGTGAGGCAGTACTATACACTGCTGAACAAAGCTCCTACCCATCTTCATAGGTAAGAATTTTTCAATTGTTAATCTATCACATATTTTTTCACATGAGATTTTTTGGACAGTTTTTGAAGTCACACCCTGTTTCAAATTGAAAATGATCTATTTTAGGTGTTTCACAATTAGTGATTTTAAAATAATATTTTTCATTTTTGAAGACTAAATGAAAATGTCTGTGAGGTGATTGATAAAGAAGTTTGAAAAAATACTCTCCTAGGGTTGGGCACTTCAATCTTATTATTTTGTCACTTCATTATTAGATATAGATTTCCTGATAAGATGAGAAATACTTCAATTAGAATGATACAGTAATTTATAAAGAATATGATAGCATTAGATTTTCATCTAATAACTACACCTCTCTCTTTGAAAAAAATGATTTAAGAACAGTTATTTAAATACCTCGAAAAAATATTTCAATGTTACACCAATCTGACTTTGGACCAAGTCAGTATTTTTCTGTAGGATGTCTGCCTCACAAAATCTTTGGTCTCACATGACGGGCATATCATATACACCTCTCCAGAATATTTTTATTATTTTAACTGTCCCCACCCCGGAGTATGTGTTTGTGGAGTTGCTTGCGGACTTTGTCTGCAGGTGAAGCTTATGACTAGTTGGAATAAATTTTGTTTGTTCGGGATATTCAGACAGTTCACTCCATCTGAAATGACCCACCTGGCATTGATAAGAGGTTAGTACTTCGAAACCGATCTATTGGCCAAATGAAATTAATTTCAGCTTTTCATATACAGTGTGTCCGCAAAGTATGAAATAAATTCGATATTTCCAAAACCTAAGGTCGTTTTACAAAAACCTAAAACACGCCGATTTTTAATTTTAATATTCTACATTT